CGCGACACTTGTCGCGGCCGTGACATTCAACTATTTTTATATAACGATTATGTTGTTGTTATGTGTATGACATAACTAATATATATTCGTTATTTAAAAAAAAAAAAACTGTCGCGTCCGCGACGGGTGTCACGGCCGCGACACTGGGACCATAATCTTCTGAAAATCACGATTTTATATTTCCACGTCAACATTTAAAATCATGCGTTAACTATCCACTTACGAAAGGCGATCTCAGCTTAGGGGAATCAAGAGCTACTGGCCGCATAAACGAACCGTGTGTTAAGGCCTCGACCAGGAGAGAAACATCTGGAACTTATAACCTAAAAGAGTCTCCAAGTGTGATATTAACAAGGAGTTCTGGGTTAGTACACATGTTCCTAGTATATGGTAGACTGATAAATTCGACACTTATGCCAATCCATGTCATAAAAGACAAGGCAACTATTTTGCCTCCCGCACTAAGGAAGGCACCAATTAATGCCTCGGTCACATTTGCCACAGTCTTACTCTTTATTATTCTGCAAAACATCTTGAAAAATGATATACATCTATGTACCGATTGAATCAAAACTGTTGCTTTTGAAAATATATGATTTAGTGCACATTTACACACTAGACCATATATGGTGTACAGCATATTTAAACTTGATTAACTTAATTACATTAATATAAAACATGATTTAGTGCACATTTCGATATACGTTTCTTTTTTAAATAAATTTTATACATTATAAGTTATATAACAAATTTATAAAATTTATTATTGAGTGATTTTTTTTTTAATTGAAAATGTATTTTCAGAATACGGTTTCCTTAAATATATTTTTACGTGATTTACATTACTATATATTAACTAATAGCATTATATATAGTTATTTTGAGTGATTTACAATACTATATATTAACTAGTAGCATTATATATAGATGTAAATGAGTAGTGGATATTGAACTTCTGCAATTAAAATGACGTAGAAATCAAATTCTCAAACCCAATGAACTTTACTGAGTAGTTTCGATGCAAATGCTTAAAGTTACAATCCTCCAATAGAGGACTCGATTACAAACAGACATAATTTTGTTGGAACTTATAGCAGAAATCTCATTAAAACTTCACTGGAAATACAAGCAATGCAGTAGTAAAACCACATTGATAAAAACACTACACACACACAAACAGACAAATCATCAACAAGAACCAAACTTCAACCACAACAATGTATCCAGGCATTAGTTAGGTCTCATGTTAGCGTGTAACACGTAACACTTACAGTTTACTACCATCCATAATATACAAGAACTAAACTTCAACCACAACAATGTATCCAGGCATTAGTTAGGTCTCATGTTAGCGTGTAACACGTAACACTTACAGTTTACTACCATCCATAATATATTGGTTAAATTGGTCAGGTCCAAGTAAACAGTACTACCACGGACATTCATGTATTCAAAATACAACATTCATGTATTCATTTGGACTATTCATTCAACAATGAAGAGTCCAATGAATACAAATACAAAATTATAATTACTAAAAAGTTCAAAAACAAGTTCCACAACAAATGTTATGCCGTAGAAACAAACGCGGACCCCAAGACTTCAGCCCCCAACACAGTGACAAGATCCATTAACTTCCAAACCCCTTTTCCAAGTCGACGTCGAGGGAGCTGAAACAAACAAAAATACCAATAAACTGATTAAAGAGAACTCGACACCAATAAACTGATTAAAGAGAAATTTATATCGTAGGCTATCAAAGGGAGAACCTCCCTCAGCAGAGGCATCGTATGCCTCACTAGGTGGTAGAGAGAAGAGAAGAGAAGAGGGAAACGATTTGGTAGAACCTCCCTCAGCAGAGGCATCGGCCACCGCCACTCCCGCCCGCCGATTCCAGCAGACCCAGCACAAATACAAGCTCACCGCCAAGAAAAGAAAAATGGCATTTGAAATCAGGGATAAAATTGTCCCAGTTATAAAATCAGACTTTTCTTGTTTGTTCATTGTTTATGAAAGGAACGACACAGAGGGGAAAAAAAAAGGAACGACACAGAGGGAAAACCTACTCGAAAACCTGAGAAAATATAGAAAAGAGGGAAAGGGTTTGATGTGATAAGACTGTATGGGAAAGTGAAATAATCTATCTTCAGAACGGATGGATTGACTAATTAGATATCCAATTGACTTAGGGTATGTTTGGTAAAAGCTTACTTATTTGGTTAACTTATAAGCTTCTTGTATTTAAATAGCCCCGTTTGGTAGGACGAGCTTATTTAAAAAGTTCGAGCTTATTTGATAAGCTTGTTTAGGTATCTTTTCAAATAAGTTAGTTGAATTTTTTATTCCAGCTAGCTTATCAGCTTATTTTACCAAATACTTTTATCATATAAGCTAGCTTTTCAGCTATAAGTCATAAGCTATAAGCTCAAAAATTACATATAAGCTATAAGCTAGCTTATCAGCTAGTTTTACCAAACATACCCTAACTCAAC